TCATGGATGATTTCTAATTTTGGATATTGAAAGAATGCTATTTTCTCGAGTATAATATGACAATACTCCCTCTGTAAAGAAATATAAGAGCGTTTTGATCATTAGTAGTGATCTAAACACTCTTATATTTCCTTACAGAGGGAGTACTAATTAACTCTTTCTGTTTGTAAGCTATCTTGATATTTCTTAGCTGTTTTGATGTTTCGCTTGGCAGAAAGTATCACTGTAGTACTGCTTGAAAAGACATAAGTGTGGGTGATTGTGGTTTTAAATCAGAGAATTATGGTTTCAAAGTTATTCTTTAAAGGTACTCCCTCTGTCCCATAATATAAGAACGTTTTTCAAGCTATGTTAGCTTGAAAATTTATCTAATATTGTTGGATGGAGGGGGTAATTCATATTTATCTTAAGGTTACTAACATACTTCTTATGAAATTTATTTTTTTCTTCATTATCATATAGGCCAAGATGTTCTCAATATGCTGCATCTGGAACGTCTCCGAAGAGATTAACCATCTGAAGACTCGGTCACCTGGTTTTATTTTAAATGAAGTTGTGTGTGTGAGGGAGTGAGCAATAAATTTGTGCATGAACTAACGACGTTGGTGAGAGTTTAGGTGTTCGTAGAATTGGTTAGGTGAATACCCCAATCTTGTAGTTAGATGGTTGTAACTAACATCTTACACTCTTTTAATGGTGATCAATAGATTGTTGTGTCCATCGGAAGGTAAAACGTGTCAAGAATTGTATGTTGTCGATAATAGACCATCTAGAATTGAACCCCTGTTACTTTGTCCCCATTTATTCGGATGGACAATCCAAACACGAGAGAAAGAAAAAAGGCCACCCAATTGGACCCCCCTACTTCATCATAAGTTTTGGCTGTTCAATTCATATATGGGAAAGAAATGTGGGTGTCTAGGCAGTCCGCTTCATTGAATGCGGTCCACCCCAGACCACTTTATTTCTTTCTCCATTCTTTCTTTTCTCTCTTTCTTCATCCTAACCAATCATATGCATGTGAATGACAATTTGGGGCATGGCCGCGTGGATGGACAAAAACAAACACTTCCGAAAACTGCACAGATGTGCCAGTGGATATATAGGGGCGGGTCATATTTGTTCAGTCTGGTTGTAGATGCTCTTACCCCCTTAGAATGAGAGGTTAGAAAAGAGCGAACCATAACTTCTTAATGATACGTGTGTTGCACGTGCACATTTACTAGTGTTAAATAATAATCCTAAATTACCTTTTGAAAAAGGCTGGTCACAAGCTCAGGTTTGCAGCTTTGATATTGGCCCGCGTTCACGTCAAATCGTTGGCCAGGCCGGCCGGGTGCTAGGCCTCCTTGCAGGCCTTTTGCCTTTTGGTGGACAGCAATGCAAAAGCTGAAGCTGTCCTACAACAGCCCGTCAATTTAATTTTATCTTTTCTGAGTTGTTAAAATCACTAAGCACAATAAATGCCTCAAAAAATTACTCCCCACAGTCCTTTTTACTCTGCATATAAGAATTGTCTGAAGTCAAACTTCATAAAGTTTGACCATATTTATATAAAAAAATGTCAACATCTACCATACTAAAGTTATATAATATAAAATTTTAATTCATGACACATTTACTGATATTGATTTCATATTATGAATGTTGGTATTTTTTTCTATAAAGTTGGTCAAACTTTACGAGGCTTGACTTTAAGCCAGCGAACTAAAAAGGACCGGAGAAAGTACTAAGCATATGTAGGCACAATCTTTCAAAAAAAGATGACATTACTAAGCATAAAGCAACTGGAATAAGATGGCACGGCTGGAGCCAAGCAACAAAGCTTTCCGCATGCTAGGTACATCTTCTCCGTCTCTTTGACATATTCGACTCCGAAACACGGAGAAGCCACTAATCAAATAAGAGGTAAAGTTTATTTTTCACTTATGTTATACATGTGTGTTGAAAGTACGAGTGATGGCAGATCCAAACAATCTCGACCGTCTATCCACACTATGTGATGGTCGAAAACATCCCAATGTTAAGCACCAAGCCATCAACCATATTGAGCGCACATGCATCTCACTAATCAATTGAATATCCCTCCCATGCAACCAACTCCGGTCGCTCCTCCGCGCGGGTTGCCGCCTGCCGCATTCCGTCCCCGCAGACGCCGCTTGTTCTTGTACTCCCATCGTACGCTTGATGTCAATGGTGCACGAAGCAGCGAGGGTTGTGCGGCGAAGAAGTGGTAGAAGAATGACCGGGTGGGGCTGCTGTCGAAGACGAACCTTCCAGCGTC